GAAAAGGGGTATTTTTTGTTTTTTGGGGCAAAATAAGGGTACAACTGAGCTTTGAGGGGTTGTGTCGTATTATAAGGGATTTTTAAGGGCTATTTCACATGAGCCAAACTAGTAGCGGTTGGGCCACATGACTTTATCATATTTAGGGTATTGACGCACCTTTTCTAGTAAAGAACGAGAAATAAAGGACGAAAATCTTCCAATCAAATAATAGAAGACTACTTTTACACTGAAAAACAATAAAAAAAGAAGGATCGGAGGCCTTTACTAATAACAAACATCAAAGTGCTTGAGAAAATTGATAGTATGTGTGCTGAATTCCTATGGGGGCATAAAATTCACATGGTATCTTGGTCTTCTATCTGCTAGGATCTGGAGCATGGAGGACTTGGAGTTTTTTTCGCAAAGGTATGGAATTATGCTTCTGCTGCTAAACTTCTATGGTTGATTCATCTCAAAAAAGACATACTTTGGATCAAATGGGTGCATGGAAACTACCTAAGGAAAAATAACATTTGGCAAGTTCAACTAAAGGATAATGATTCATGGATGTGGAAGCAATTACTAAGAGTGAGGGATTTGTTGATAGGAAAATTTGGTAATGTTGATAATCTTCTAAATGCTATTGCTGGATGCTGTGTCAATGATTCAGTTAGTATCTCTTCAGTTTACAGGAAGATAAATCAGCAAGCTCCTCCTACTATACTGTCTGAAACTATTTGGGGAGGATGGCATTATCCTAAGCACTCCTTTATATTGTGGTTAGCCTCTCTTTCCAGGCTGTTAACACAAAATAGACTGTGTAAAATGAGATTATTAAGTACCAGTCAGTGTGTTCTATGCTCCAATCAGATGGAAACCTGTGAGCACCTCTATTTTGAATGCCGATACTCTGCAACTGTTTGGAATAAGATCATGGAATGACTTGGCTATAGATGGAAAACTTGCAAGTGGAACCAATTAACAGCATGGTATGGTAATCTAAAAGAGATTGGATTTAAGAAAAAATTGAAAAGGATGGCTTTGTCGGCAGCTGTTTATCTAATATGGCAGGAGAGGAACCTCAGATTATTTCGGTACAAAGCTAGAGACCCTGATGAGCTTTTTCGTGTAGTAAAGATTACAATTTATGCAAAAATTTTGAATGATAACATCCCAAATCATGTTAGGGACTATATAGAGAGCTTATAGGTTGCTAAGTCTTGGTTTTTTTCTACCAGACTTCTTGATGTCAAAGAGTGACACTGATGTACTGTTAAAATTTCCATACTTGGTATAATGAATACTTTTTTTTCATTGACCAAAAAAACAAACAAACATCGAGAGGGTACATACGTGGAGGATACATTTTCACATCCTTTCTTCGGTATAAGTTGCATTAAATTTAGATCTTATTTATGCACGAACAACTCTTGCTGATGACTGTCGAGTGTCGAGTGATACCCGTAATAAAAATAACAACAATAATGAAGGGACAACCATCAACAACACAGTTCTATGCGCTTAGGAAAATTGAAAAAAGTCTGCATGCTACAATTACGAACAATTTATCAAGAACTCCCTATGTACCAAGAAATTCAACTATCGCATCCAAGATCTCATCAATCCCTTCTGAATCCTCTCTTTCAACCTCGTGAAGAATTACGATAAAAGCGGCAATAAATGCAACGTCAATACCGCCAGGATGGATTTTCACTCCGAAAGTATTCCCTCCTACTGGAATCCTGTGCTCCTCGGTCATCTGTATTTATCATCGACATGTTCAAAAATCATCATAAGCAGCAAGTTAATTGCAGATGCATTATCTGCACTACGAAGATTTAGCTACAAATTATATACATTTCTCAGTCTCTTATTCACATTTCTCAGTCTGTTATTCACAATGATGACGCTACTTTTTCGCTAGTTTTTAAGCAACTGTAGGAATTACGTGGAAATGTCTCTGACTGTTGTCTAACTCTGATCGTGATTCCCACATAAGTTTGAAAACTAAGGAAGAAGTAACAATAATCATCTTGATGAGTTAATTTATTAACATGAACTATGCATAGCAAATATAGAATTAAGATACCTGAGCTACAATAAAAGAGGACTCTCCTTGATATACAGTGCATTTTTTCTTACTAATACTTCCCTTGATCTTGAAGTCGCACGTTTTTTCCTTTTTATTAGTAAAGAAAAACATATCATATTCTCTCCGCGACTGGAACGCTGAGCTCTGCTTGATGCTGAACAAGAGATCCTTCGCGTTCGTGCTCTCACCTTTGAACACTTGCCATCGCTTATGCGCGGTCAAAGACTGCCAAACAAATCAATGTCACTATAGTAATCTTACAAACAAGGACTAACTGCAGATATATCCATTGTACTAGAGACGCACTTAGTAATGACAAACATTTTTATATAGCACTTAGTGGTAAGACATAATCTGTACAATATCTCTTGTTTGATTAATAACAAACTCTCATTTGGTATTAATATATATTTGAGATGATATAGTACAGATGATATGGGTATAAGATGTTGGATATTTATTAAGAAAGGGCAATTTTGCCTTTGTGTTTTAGTCCAACATCGGAAAATTAAAAAGAATCCTCTCTCCCTCAACCCTATAAATACACCCTTATTCACATTCTAAAACACAAGAAAATAAAGTTTTTATCATCTCCTCTGGTTTTAAAGAAAATTGTTGTTTCCCCTCTATAAATTTTGTTATTAATTTTTTGGGCAATCTTCTTCATCTGAGCTGAAGCTCTGTACTCTCGTCCGAGTACGGAGGCCGGCCGTTTCCGGGGTTTTTACCGCTAGGGGGGAGAGAACTATTTGTGTCAGGGCGATAGGCGGGTTCTCAATCTTCTAGGACAGTGATTACACGACTGTTCCCGTTAGGCCTGATTTTCTTATCTCTTACTTATTTAATTCGGATTTAATTTACATGTCATAACATTGTTTTGATAAATTTCCAACAATCTAGAAGATTGAGGGTTTTTTAGTTTTAAATCTAAATTTTTTTTTACAAATTACTGTTCATCAACAATTACTGTTCACTCGGAAAAAATATAATTGTTCATTAAAAAAAAATTGTGCATCCACGAGATTTGCTATTACCATTCTTTATGGTTCATTGGACATATATATTAAAAATTATTGTTCATTAAAATTGTTACTGTTCATCCGAAATAACCTTAAGCCTGTAGTTAATTGCTTTAATTACTGCCTTTATTGTATTTATTTAATTGCTGTTAATTTGTAATTAATTAAATTAATTTTAACAATTAATTACAAATAATTGTAACTTGTAATTGGTTTTATTGTTAATTAGTTTATGTAAAAAAAAATCGAATCTAAGTGGCTATCATGCTTGGTAATGCTGCACAATTTCATATGTTGTAGAGTTTGTTGCATGATTAATTAGCAAAAAAGATTCAGTCGTCACCCATGAGCAGTTAACATTGTGCTGATTCATAGAAGTGCAATAATGCAGTGATTAAGGTCTTTATATAAGAAAAATTACTTTTCATCAGATAATTTATTTTCTATTACTGTTCATTTAATTCTTTTACCACTGTTCATTGGATTGATCAGTTATTAATTAATTAGTTGATGTTGATTAAAACTCGGGAAAACAAATTTATTAAAAACACTACTGTTCATTTTATTGAAAAATGTTAATGTTCATTTTAAAAAACAGTTACTGTTCCTTATTAAAAATAAATAAATTTTGCAGCTAATGTTTCTGTTAATTTAATTAATTGCTAATTACTTTTAACAGTTAATTGCCTTTAACTTATAGTTAATAAGAAGATGCATGTTGCATCGTGTATTGCCTAATGTTAAATGTTAAATGATGTTGATCAATATCAGAGCGAAACAAATCAAGAGGTACATTTTTTTCCTATTTTATATGATGAAATATAACTTAAATCTTCAAATGTAAAGATTTTCTCTTTTATTGCATTATGATGGATATTCATATGTCATTTTATATCACTTGCATTTGTTACATGATTAATTACAAGTTTTATGCAAGAATGCTCTTGTAAATATATATATATATATACAAAAGATCAAAAAGATATGGTTAAGAGGTGGTATTAAAAAATGACATGTAAATTTGGAAGGTCTCTTTTGTAGACAACCAATTTAAATTTGGAAGGTCTTTTGTAGGCAACCAATTTAAATTTGGATGGTCCCTTTGAAGGCAACCAAATTTGCGACCTCTTATAATAGGAAAATTTAAAAATTATGTATATGAAGTATGATGTATATTTTACGATACGAAATCCTATTATAAGGTTCTCTTTAATGCTTTGCATGTATCTATTAATAATGTCATTCTTATATGTGCATACGCATGCATGTGAAGATATAACTAAAGTATTTTAGTTCCACTTTATGGGCCAATTTCTAATCTGCACAAACCCTATGCAGTTACATTTTCAGACATAGAATACGATCTTTTATGCTCATAAACCATGACCTTTTATGTTTACATGTTGCATTCAAAAATGCTGTTTAATTTTCTTGTTGCTAAATTGATTACTCTATCTTTTGAACTCTAAAGGTCCTATTAGCAATGTTGGGATTTAGTTCTTTAAATGTACAACATATTGTGTTCCCAAAGAACCCGGAAGTTATGGCAAACCCTTTGTGCTTTTGTTTTCTATTCCTTCCATGATAATATTTGATCATTACAATTTCTACTTGATATGAACGCATATAAAAATTTTGTTTAGACATTTAAAATAAAAATGTCTAATTATTATTATCCATTGTTTCTTGATAAGAGACATCAATAAATATGCTAATATGTTTTGATAGTGACTAGAAAGAATCATTTTATAGCTCTTCATTTGACTACATGTATAATGCTTTCTCTTGAGATTTCAGGAAATGATCAGAATTGATATAAATATGCTCTGTCAACTAATATGTCTAGTTACAGGAGATGTGATAAATCAATGTCCTGGAAAATCAAATCAAGAGGAATATCTTATAACTTATTTCTATATGATGAATAAAAGTTATATTGAAATTAGTCCATCAAATAATAATAATAAAAATTGCTATTAGGCTTATCCTTATAAGTTGTTTGAAATTAATCTCTCCTCTTGCTTCTTATACTATTGCCTGGAGAGACTAATTTTAAATAACATAACAAGAAGATGACCTAATGTCAATTTCAAATAATATGAAGGACTAATTACAAAATAATTTAAGAACTTGATAAATAAATACAACGCCTGCTAGGCAAAGTTGTGATTCTAGACTTTGTAAAGTCTAAAAAGAATCTTGCTGACCCTTTGACTAAGGGATTCTCCAGGAGTGTGGTTCTGGATTCATCGAGGGAGATGGGGTTAAGTCCATAAGAGAGGTCACTGACAGTGGTAACCCAACCCTTATTTGGAGACTTAGTCCCAATGTTGGTTCAATGTGGTAGAAACAAGCTGGACTAGTGACACTCGTGTGGAGCATCGACCTTGATATATTCATATATCACTATGTAGCTTGTGCTACTACCCATTCTCTATGATGACGATGCTCTTATGATACAGCTGGCTAGGCTAAGTTTTACTCTTAATAAGTCCAACGTGTGTATTATGAGGGTATTAAATAAACAGTTGTAGTACCCTTTGAGGACTTACCTACGTGAGAGGAACTGTGATGGCCGCGGTTGGGGGGGGGGCTGGGCTAACCCCTAGAAACTCTCATGAGTCGGTTTATTGTGAGCATGACCTTTAACGCTCAACCCGCTTTGCTCAATAGATGAAGACGTATTATGTGTGTTTTTATTAATACCTGATTCAAGGGGCCTAATTCAAGGCCTAGTCCATTATGTCCCTCAGGTGGCGATGAACTCACTAAGGAAAGGTTCAAAGCCGGAAGCTACCTCTCCTGAATTCACGATACGAAAGGTTGCCCAACCTATATTTGTTTTATGATTTCTTGATTTATTTATTGATTTCTGAGTTTTCAGTCAATATTGCCTTTTGGGGGGGGGGGCTGTTGGATATTTATTAAGAAAAGACAATTTTGCCTTTGTGTTTTAGTGCCACATCGAAAAATTAAAAAGAATCCTCTCTCCCTCAACCCTATAAATACACCCTTATTCACATTCTAAAACACAAGAAAATAAAGTTTTTCTCCTCTCCTCTGGTTTTAAAGAAAATTGTTTTTTCCCCTCTATAAATTTTGTTATTAATTTTTTGGGCAATCTTCTTCATATGAGCTGAAGCTCTGTACTCTCGCCCGAGTACGAAGGCCGACCGTTTCCGGGGGCTTTTACCGCTAGGGGGGAGAGAACCATTTGCGTTAGGACGATAGGCGGTTTCTCAATCTTCTAGGGAGTGATTACACGACTGTTCCCGTCAGGCCTGATTTTCTTATCTCTTACTTATTTAATTTGGATTTAATTTACATGTCATAACATTGTTTTGATAAATTTCCAACATAAGATGTGTATTACGCGAAACGACATGCAAATCAACTCAATAGTTGTTTTCAGCCATTGAACCATCAATAATCAGCATGGACTCATTGATAACCACAGGAACTGATTAATGAAATTTAGAGACATAATTTCTAATCATCGATGGTCAACAATAACCCGTCAATGGTGCATCGACACCATCGATGGTCAACATAAACTCATCGATGGCAAAGTCGACTGGTTGCAGATTTTAAGTTTTAATCTCATCCATTTGTCATTCATTTTGGTCACCAAACTCTACCATGTTTAGGATATCTCTTTCTTGATCTATTGAATGTTATTGAAAGGGATAGAGAGAAGGGAGGTTTCTAGGGTTTTGAATTGTAAAGAGATTTCATTGAAGGTCTTGATCTCTGGAGTCTTGACAAACTCTTACTCGTCACGCACAACATCAGCTAATCTATCACGACAAGGAGGGTTTACGACGTATTTAAGCCGTGTGAATTGCATAATTGAGACTAGTTAGGGCTAGGTGTTGCTCATTGTGGAGAGTTAGATTAGACGACTAGTTTCAGGTAGATTCTAGGGTGCGGTCTTTATAAGACTACTAAATTAGGTTGTGATTCAGGAGAACTCTTAGTATAGTGAGGAAACCCACTCGTGAGAAGGAAGAGCGAGTATACAATTGTTATCCAAACTACTATAAAATCTTGCATGTCTTTAGTTGGTTATTATTTATGGTTATTATCATTGTTTGCTTTTATTTTTATCTTTTTGGCTGCAAATTTTATATTCTTTAGGGAGAAGCGTTATCATTTCTATTCAATCCCCCCCCCCTCCAAACCAAAAAAAAGGCTTGCATCTTAAATCCAACACTAAAGTTCTCTCATGTCCAAACTGAACCATGTCTCAATCGTCTATGTTGTCATGTGAGTGTACATGGTGTCAATGTATTGCAGAAAGATCTTCTAACTAGTCTCTTGTGTGTTAAACTCACCCTCTTGAAGCATGTATAAATAGTTTACTCTTTTTAGACGTCAGTTAACACCTCTAATTTATTCTCATCGCTCCATCTCCACTTAGGGGGTGTTTGTTTCACTAAAAATTTTGGTATTTGGTATGGATTACAAGTTTTGGGATCAAAAAGTGAGTTTTTTGTATTTTTGGATTCCATATATGGTGTTTGTTTAAAAAAAAGTAGAATATTGAATCCCAAAAGTGCAAAAGTACCTAATTTTTAAAATTTGTCAAATCCTCTCAATTGGAGAGGATTTTGACAAATCACATAAATGGGTGTGCTTACCTCTCAATTTGAGAGGATTTGACAAATCCCAATTTTATCTTTTTTGGGAGGTAACCTCACCAAGATAGCATAGTCATCATATTACAAAATTTTGGCATTTGGTAATACTATAATTTGAGCTTGAAACAAACAAAATATTACAAATTGTAGTATTCTAAATCCCAAAATATTAATGAAACAAACAACATTTTAGAAATCCCAACTCACAACAAAACACCTATGGATTTCAAATCTCATGGTGAAATCCATATCCTAAAATTATAGGATTTGAAACAAATACCCCCTTACTATATTTATTACTATACAAATAGAGAAAACTACATTTATTAGTTTTTAGGGGTTTTTTTCGATATTCGTTTCTTAAACCTTTCAGATGTTAATTTGTACCTCAAATCATTGAAGCTGCTATTAGGTCCCCCAATTTTTAAGTTCTTCGGAAATTAGTCCCTCAAATCATTGCAACTGATACTAGATACCCTATTCTTAAAGTTTGTTTCAAACTAATATCTCTAATTGCTACTTCACCCCTGATTGGAGGGGACTAAGTTCTGAATGACTCAATAAATCTCAGACAGTTTCTTTAAAAAACTGAATCGAACAATAACTACCAATAAAAGAGTATGAAGTATGACAAAGCAGCACTTAAGATATAGATCAGGGGGTTTATCTACAATTTACCGCAATAACAACAGGAGAGATCGATGGAAAATTAACCTTGGATTTCAACGTGAAGAGAGGCCTGCCACTTATAGCATCGACGAGAAATTTCTTGCCACTGGATTTCGAAGGCTTCGACATGAAGATGGCTCTGCCACAGACATCGAAGGCAACCACCTGGTCAGCATTAAAGCCAGGTGCGTTCACAGTGAAGGTGAGATCAATTGGATAAGGAGCAAAATATGGTGGATTAATGACGCTTAACGGATGCATTGTGAAATGCTTATATGTAATGCTTGATAATATTAGCTGAGATTTAAACTGACCAAGTCTGTTGTAAGCATTAGCTGAGATTTAAACTGACCAAGTCTGTTGTAAGCATCGAGGAAATTTTACTTGATAAGGATTGATTAAAATGGTTTTGGCTTGTAATACCATGTCGTTTTGAATGACTTGGTAAAAATAATGCTTATATGTAATGCTTGATAATATTAAGTGATATGAAAGACAAGGCTAAGGATATCATTAGCTGATATTTATACTGACCAAGTCCTGTTGTAAGCATCGAGGAAATTTTACTTAATAAGGATAGATTGAAGTGGTTTTAACTGGTAATACCATGTCGTTTTGAATGACTTGGAAAAATAATGAATTGTTGGAAAGTGACGTAAGTTCACACTTTGATGGTCCAATCAACGGAGGACAAAATACTAGTTGGATAATATTTGACTAGAGGAAGTTTCTGTTGATATAAATGAATAATGAAGGATTTATATAGAAGCATACCATTTATATGGTTGGGTTCCATCGATGAAAATTAAAATGTGTTTAATTAGTATAGTATGTGAGTTTTAGTCCTATATTGACTAATTTAATGTATTTTAAATGGTTCAAATTAACATACGTGTTATATATTATAATGAAGGTGCTAGAAATGTACACTTGTGTTGGCATACAAGCGAGTGGTTCGTGCATGCCCTTTTTTCATGTGCTGCATTTAACCATCCGAAACATTTTGTACGTTACGAACGTTACAAGGTTTGATGATAGTTACAACAGACGTTATAAAAGTTACAATAACTAGCATTCCAAGCCTTGTCTAACTCCTCAGCTCACCTGAACCCTATATAAAGGGCCTCCTCTGTTCATTTGAGTGATACAAAAAAACTTAAACTTCTTCTCTTGTCTTCCTTTTGCAATTTTGTAACCTGCTGGTATTAAAGATTCCGGCGAAGTGAATTTATAGTCAATGTATTCAACAAAAGAGAGTGCTTCTTTAGACTATTGTCATCTCATCCTCGAAAGTATTGTGTAGACCCAACGCTGCTGTAGGGGAGCATAATTTCATCAAGGTTAATCCTCTATTTAGAGGGCAATTCAGCATTTCTGTGAAGTATTTCAGACTCTAATTTTATCATTTATGGTATTATTATCTTTTTGCTCTATTTCTTTATTCCTGTATAGTTTGTTTTGCTTATGACTGAGCCTATTTTTAATCTTGTTTTTTTTAATAATTTTGAAGAATTTTTTAACATCTGAAACTATGTCTTCTATTTCAGGAGTTACTTTTGGTGCCTTTGCCCTTAAAATGAACATGACTGGAATCCCAGAAAAGTTCGTGGGTCAGTTCTTCAAACGTTAGCGGCAACGTATGAAGACTTTGCTGATGACTAAGGTGTTGTTAGCAATGATACTGTCAGAATGCCCAAAATTGGATGAAAAAGATCTCAAAAGTGCAGATAAAAATGCACAGTGAACGGAGAAGACTCAAATAGTCAGGGGATGTATTTTGTTGGCAATGTCCAATGTGCTCTTCGGTGTCTATTATTCTTCTTCAGCCACCACATATGCGTTATAGGATGAATTGGATAGAAAATATAATACTGAAGACCTCAGTCTTGAAAAATATTATGTGTCCAAGTCCTTAGAGTTTCAAATGGTCGAGAGTAAATCTGTTTCAGAACAAGCACATGAACTTCTACTCATTCTTCATGCAATTCGAGAAGAAGAAATAGAACTTTCTAAAAAAATTAGGTTATGACAATCATCGAGAAATTTCCTCATTCTTAGGAGTGCTCGGAATGTCTCAAGCATCAATAAAAGTCAAAAACATGTTGTGTTTGTTGAACAACAACCCAAAGTAAATGTTATAACTTCAGGGAAAAAGTTTTAAAATAAACCTAATGGCAAACCTGATGACAAAACCAAAACCAAAGCTAAGATCCAAAAGAAACCAAAAGCAAGCAAACTATGTTGGAATTGTGGATAGGTTAGACATTGGGCTAAAGCTTGTCCTACAATAAAAGCTAAAGCCAATCCAGGGTCTACTAGCGTGTCTCACGCTAACATGGTTACGATTTGAGCTCGCTGGATACATCGAAAGATATGTTTCCTTTTAACCCCGAGTTACTATCTATTTATGAACTTAATGAATGGTTGGTAGACACTAGTGCAAATTTGTGTTGATAAATTGTTATTTGTATCTTACCAGCCTGCAAATGAAAATACCGTGAAGATGGGGAACCAAACTGCATCTAAGGTGTTGAGATATAGACGAATGGATCTGAAATCCCTTTCTGGGCGAGTTCTATTATTACACAGGGTGCATAATGTTCCAATTGTTTGATGCAACATAATTAGTAGTTCATGTTTAATTAGGGAGTGTTATGAGCTTTCTTTTAAACGTAATAAAGTGGTTATGTTGCATGCTAGATCTTTTATTGTTAAGGGTTATGATTCTAATGGAATGTATAAGGTTAGATCAAAACCTCTGGATTAAATAAGATTTTTTTCCTGATTATCTTGTTGGTGACAATTTTGAATCACCTGATATTTGGCATAAAATCTTAATATGATTTGAAGACACTCTATAGACAACAAAAAAAATCAAGTCTGTGTAATAACTAAAGAAACAAGAAAATCTTGTCATTTTATTGATAGAAATTTAGAATTGCTTGATTTAGTTCATACTGATATTCGTGAAATTAATGGTGTTTTGACCAAGGACATGAAGAAATATTTGATCACTGTTATAGATGACTATAGAAAATATTGTTACGTTTACTTGCTTAAAACTAAAGACGAGGCTAAAGAAAAATTTATCATTTTCAAAAATGAAACTGAAACTAAAACTGGCAAGAAACTTAAAAGGTTAAGATCTAATAGAGTAGGAGAATATACCTCAAATTAGTTTATTATTCTGTGTCAATCTTTTGGCATAGTGCATAAGGAAGCTGCTCCTTATTCTTCTCAGTCTAATGGTTTAGCAGTAGGAAAAAAAATAGAATCTTGAAAGATATGATTAATAGTCTACTTGAAAGTTTTGAACTTTCTAAATATATGTTAGGAGAGGCTTTGAATACGGCTTGCTATATTCTGAATAGAGTCCTTTAGAAATATAAGGAAAGTAGTTCATTTGAACTTTAGAGAAGTCAAAAGACAAGCTTGAAATACCTTAAAGTGTAGGGGCGTCTTGCAAAAGTACTAATCCCAGAACACAAGAGGAAGAAGATATGTCCTAAGACAGTGGACTCTATTTTTCTAGGTTATGTAGAAAACACCTATGCTTTGAGATTCTTAGTGATTAAATCTGAAAACCATAGTATAGATGTTAATACAATTATTGAATATAGTGGCGCAATATTTTTTGAGGATGTTTTTCCTATGAAAACTAGAATGCCTCAATATATTTCTAATGAAAACCCTATCTCTGTCTCAACTTCCATTCGTGATCATGTGGAAAGGATAACAAATATAGAGACAGAAAATTCTAAATCTGAATCTGAAAGATCAGATCATTTGGATGAACCTAGAAGGAGTAAGAGAGCAAGGATTGTCAAGGATTTTAGAAATCACTTTGTCACTTACAACATCAAGGAGGATTCTACTTCCTACCGATCTACTATAACCTAGCTCAAAGGAGGCTAAGCACTGGAGGGATGTTGTAAAAAATGAGATGGATTTTATTTCCTCTAACGGGACATGAGAATTAGTTGATCTCCCTCGTGGTTGCAAGACAATTAGGTTTAAATAGATTTTAAAAAGGAAAATAAAACTAGATGGAACAATAGAAAAGTTTGAGGTCAGACTCGTTGCCAAGGGGTTTAAACAAATTGAAGGAATTGATTTTTTTGATATATACTCTCCAATTGTTCGAATGACTACGACCAGAATGCTTATTGCATTGGCTTCTATATATGATTTCACAATCTACCAAATGGATGTCAAAACTACTTTTCTTCATGTTTTTCTTGAAGAAGAGATTTATATGGATTAGCTTGAGGGATTTATAGCACTTGGCAATGAAAAGAATGTGTGTAAACTTATGAAGTCTTTATATGGACTTAAACCAACTCCTAACCAATGGCAGAAAAGGTTTGATATGACTATTATTATAAAGACTTAAACAAGCCCCTAACCAATGGCATAAAAGGTTTGATATGACTATTATTGATTTTGGTTTCATAAATATTAAGTCTGATAAGAGTGTTTATAGCAAAGTAAGAGGTACCGTGATTCATGTATTCTTCTGTGCATTTTTATGTTGATGATATTCTATTGTCTGGATCAAGCATTGGGATAATTAATAAGACGAAGTCATTCTTGAGTAATAAGTTTGATATGAAGGACATGGGAGTCGACGAGTCGCTAACGTGATTCTTAGCCGAAAACTGCTAAGATCAACCGAAACCGTCGGATCTCACTTGACTTGCATATGTTCCCAGTGAAGTTCTTTCCAAATAGGATGCTAATTATGGATATCTTGATTGGATCGAGGAAGAGATACGTGGCATGGAATCTACCTAGTAGAGATTCAAATGGGTTGTTTTGCAGGGGTAGTAGTAGGTAGAAATGTTCAGTAGATGTGCATGCTTGGATGTTTAATTTCATTTTTGTTCTGTAAAATAAAAACATGTTTTATAATTATTGCACTTTTGGGTCATCTACAAAACTCCGATAACGTTTGTAACTACTGTCAAAACAGGAATATAATAATAATATAAAATCCAAATTAAAGAGTTAGAAAATTCAGGCCTGATCAGGAGCAGTCGTGATGTCACTGCCCTAGAAGATTGAGGACACGCCTATTGCCCTGGTGCAATCTGTCCCCTCTCCCCTAGCGGTAAAAACCCCCAGAATCGGCCGGCCTCTGCACTCGGGCGTGAGTCACAGAGCTTATGCTCAGACGAAAACGGTTGCCCAAAATATAAATATAAATATGTAGCCGAAATTTCTTAGAGAAATGAGAGTAGAGAAAGAAGAGAGCTTAGAAG